TGAACCCCTGCTGGCTGGGCCTGAGTCCCTGGTTGCTCCATGACCTTCCCTGGTACCGAGGTCAGGCTGACAGGCCTTTAGTTCCCCAGATCCTCCTTCCAGCCCTTCTTGTAGGTGGGTGTCACATTGGCAAGCAAAAAAACCCTGACTTGGCTACACCAAAACCACTGGGTGTTTTGGGCTGTGCCAAGAAAAGGAGGGGAGAGACTGAGGTGGAGTCTGGGCTGTGTTTTGTGGCTCAAAAAGACGCTGAGCTTGTGTTCTTTGCCCTGGCCTTGCCTCCAGATGGTGGGAATCGGGACGTCAGATGTGAATCTGGACAAGTACCGCCACACCTTCTGCAGCCTGCTGGGCAAGGACGAGGACAGCTGGGGACTCTCCTACACAGGTAAGGCAGGCAGGGCAGCGGCAGAGGGCGGGATGGCCAGAAGGGCAGAGGTGGACACAAATGTTGTCCTAAGGGGTTGAGAGTGAAATGCTCTGAACGGGATTGAGGCCAAAAAGGCCACCAGGCCCATGAGTCCCTTCGTTAACAACCAGAGCGGCTGCCTGCAGCTTGCAGCTCTTGGGGCATCTCGCCTCGCCTGCATTTTGCAGCACCCTTAGAACCGGTGTCTGAAGCCCCAGGGCACTAGGAGTGCTGGTTCCATGTCATTGATCAGGGGTTTCAGTGCTGCTGCTTGTGCTCTGTATTGCAAAATCTCAACGTTCCCCTTTTTGTCGCCTGCTCTGGGGTGGGAGGGCTGGGATCAGGCAGCAGAGGGATTTTTTAGGCACTGAGCGAGGCCGTACCAGTGGGAACTCGCAGTGAGGGAGCTGGGATGGATTTGTGGAGTGCAGGCTTTGTGCTGAACGCTGGGCTTTTGTGTTTGAAGGACTACTGCATCACAAGGGCGACAAGACAAACTTCTCCTCGAGGTTTGGCCAAGGCTCCATCATCGGGGTGCATTTGGACACATGGCATGGGACACTCACATTCTTCAAAAACCGCAAGTGCATCGGTAAGGGCAAGGGCAGGCGCAGCAGGCTGCAGGCAGAGGGACGGGGAGGAGGGCGGCTCAACTTGGGCTGAACTCAGTCTGGCTGCAGGAGAAAACACTGGTGAAATAGAAGACTAAGGCGTGAAGCAAGTGGGAGGAAGGTTACATTTGTTGTTTAATAGATTGAGATTCCAAAAAGCTGTTTTCCAAGAGTTTTCCAAGAGCTCTCTAGTTAAAAGGTTCAGGGTAGCTGGGAGGAG